TGACGTTTTCCCTCCTCATCTACATCGATCAACCACCACAGGCATGGTTAAAATACAAATCCTATCTGACCTTCACCTGGAGGCACCAGCGGCGTACGATGTCTTTGAAATCACTCCAACAGCAGAGTACCTTGCTCTACTCGGGGACATTGGCCACACCAAGGACGTCGGTTTAATCGAATTTCTCCGAAAGCACTTGGCTAAATTCAAAATCATCTTCTATGTGCTCGGCAACCACGAGCCGTACCACTCGTCTTTTGCGGCTAGCAAGCACTCCCTTCTCACGCTCCAGGCCGAAACCGAACAACAAGCCAGTGGCAAGTTCGTCCTCCTCGACCAAACGCGGTACGATCTCTCGCCCACGGTGTCTATCCTCGGCTGCACGCTCTTCTCCAACGTCACAGCTCCCCAAAAAGACCATGTCAGTTTCGGACTCAATGACTTCTACCACATCGAGAACTGGACCGTGGAAACGCACGTGCAGCAGCACGACTCTGAGCTCCGTTGGCTCAACGCGGAAGTCGAGAAACTCATGCAAGACTCGGACCGCCGCAAGATCATCATCGTGTCGCACTACTCGCCCACCGAGGATGCTCGTGCGATCGATCCCAAATACCAGAGTAGTACTCTTACATCCGGCTTTATGACGGATCTGTCGCACGAGATTTGCTTCTCATCGGAATGTGTGGCTATGTGGGCGTTTGGACACACGCATTTCAACTGTGATTTTGAACATGATATGTATCGGACTAGACTCGTTACGAATCAGCGTGGTTACTATTTTCAGAAATCGAAGGGCTTCGAGCCGGGGAAGGTGGTTGAGCTTTGAAGCCGGCCTATTAGACTTACTAAAAAAGATGAGAGATGGAAGATGGAGACATGAATGAGAGAGGTGGTAGGGCGCGCGATTGGGAAGAACCCATGCTTCTCTTGACTCTTTCTTAGCTCCGAGCGAGCGCCATGGTGCTCGGTAGGAGTCGTTATCCTAAAGGAATGGATTGCCGAAGGATTTCTTGTTCATTCTCGCATTTTAAGAACGTTGTTCCACTCTTATCCTTCCAGAAAACGCAAATTGTTATATGCAATGGCCTATGACGAGCTCCTAGACCCTATATTATCGTTAGTCTATTATTAAGACATAGCAAGAAATCTGCTTTAGGTACGGCTTACTTGCTTCTACCTTGACACGGGGTCGTCAACGCGTGCTGTTGTGCGCATTACATTTGGAGTGAGAGAGTGAGAGCCTTTCGTGTAGTATGCAGATTTGTGAAAGCGATCGGAAATCTTTAGCACTTGATCGACGAGAAGGTGAGAGGCGGTGCGACATCGGCGCCTACACATGGCCCACGTGACGATAGTGTAAAGAAAAGAACTCTCTAGCTAAGATGCTCCATCTGATTGGCTCCAGAGCCTACCCAATTGAGCCTAGCGTAGGAAATCTAGACCAATTCATGCGGTAGAGCATTATAACTAACTATACGTTGACTATTTCAAACTTAATGATATGATAGTGAGGAGTCAATACCCTCTACCAAGTATTACAGAAATACAGTATTAATAGTTTCACGTAAAGGTTGTTATAGCGTTAAACCGCTAGCCTTGATAGAAAGGTAAGGTCAGAAGTCGGACCCCCGAACTTCCCCGCATACGGAGGTACGATAAACCATTTGCGCCAGCCGCACCACAAACCCCATCACAACAACAAGGTCCCTACAGCAATCTTGTAGACCTCCAAGCCCATACACAACATGTCTGACGAGGATCTCGAGCAAATAAGACGTGCGCGTCTACAGCAGCTACAGCAACAAGGCGGGGGTTCCCAAGGACAAGGCGGCGGCGGTGAGGGCTCAGAGCAAGAATCACGACAGTAAATACCACCCCTAACCCCACCCTCAAGCTACAAAGCCAGACCGAAAACGAAATACTAAAACACGATTCGCACAGGCAACAAGAAGGTACATCATCTCCAACCCCACACCCACACCCACGCCCACCACTAACCCCCAAACCACAGCCAACCAACGCGCCTCCCTCCTCGACCAAATCCTCCTCCCCGACGCCGCAGACCGGCTCGGCCGCATCCGGCTCGTCAAAGAATCCCGCGCAACCGACATCGAGAACCGACTCATAATGCTCGCGCGCACGGGCCAGCTGCGACAAAAGGTTACGGAAGAACAGCTCAAGGAGATATTGGGTGCGGTGGCGGAGCAGAACGAGAAGGAGGAGAGTAAGATTGTGGTGGAGAGGAGGGGTGGTGGGTGGGATGAGGATGAGGAGTTGGAGGAGCTTATGAAGGGGGTTTAGGGGGCGGTTGGGGAGATGGGAGGTGCATTGGCTGGCGTTTTGGACATCTTCGCTGTGGATGGGATGGGATGGGATGGGATTGGATAGGATTGGGGTATGTACCTCCAATCTGACGTGCTTTGTCGATTTTGCGAGCACGAACATTGTAGTCTTGCAAACTTTGTGTTTATTTCAGGGCTGTCGAGCTCGTGGCATCGACTGCTGTCGCTCCAATAACCTCGCGTGAGATCTCCTACGTCGGATTCCGACCCTGACATACAACATCCAAAACGGTAAGCGCAATGAGGTATCGGGAAGCTGTGCAGGCTATGCACCACCACAACATCGAAGCCCCGGACTAGATGCCGTACATCAAATGCAACCAATCCCTGTAAAACCACATGCGGCTGGGGATCGCGCACTGCAGCGGGAACCAAGATCGCTACCGATCCCAGATCTGAAAAGGCGTTTATCATTGGTGTGCAATGTCCGCTACAAATCATGGCAGGCCTTAATCGGTTCTAGTTGGGTGGTCCGCCGACGTCACCATTTTGGTCCCTTTTGTTTAGACTTTGATGGCAATCAGGTACAAAAGTATAGCTTACTGTCTATTATTGCCATGTCCAATGTTTCCTGTCGAACGCATTTCCGTACCGCAAACCATTCTCAAAATTTCTGTCAAGCGACTTAGATTTGGCAGTCTTGCCCAGATCCGCGCTTTCAGGCACGCGACACAAGTCCAAACCAAAGCATCGCCAAAGAAGTCCACAAAGCCCGACAAGGCATTATCGAAAGCCAAAATGTCGAAGAGGACATCCTATGAACACTCGGAACTCGGTCACACCACAATCAAACGCGCGAAACAAGTCGACGAGAACCTGCCTTACGACCAACTCCGAGAAGCACTCGGCGCGCAAGATGAAATCAAAGATGTAAGAAAAGTGGCGCATTGGTTCCATTCCAAGGACCTCCGGATACAGGACAACACCGCTCTGCACCACGCCTCGGAGCTTGCGCAGAGTGCAAAGAAGCCCTTGGTATGCGTCTACGTAAACTGTGCCGCAGACGAATCATGGCATGGAACGAGTGCAGCGCGGGTAGATTTCATGTGCGAAGGGTTGAAGATTATGCAGAAAGAGCTCAAAGAAATCAACATCCCGTTGGTCTTTTTGGAATGCGAGGACAGGAAGAAGATTGTTGAGACGGTGATTGCGTGGTTCAAGGAACAAAACGTATCACACGTTTTCGGAAACTACGAGTACGAGATTGATGAGATGCGACGTGATTTGGAGTTAGTCAATTCGACGGGGAGGGACGTACAAGTATCTCTTTACCACGACCAGACCGTTGTCGAACCTGGCACGATGCTCACAGGTGCGGGAACACCCATGAAAGTCTTCACACCCTTCTTTAAAGCCTGGCTCGACAGAGTCGGCTCAGAACCCGAGCTCCTCGACACACGTCCTCCTCCAGCCGCACACCCATCGTCGATGAAAAAAGAGTTGAAACACCTCTTCGACACGCCAGCGCCCAAGCCAGCCAAAGACAAACAGTTCGCCACCACAGAAGACCAGAAACGCATACGCAAACTCTGGCCACCAGGCCACGCCGCAGCAGAAAAGCGCATGGACAGCTTCCTCCAACAAATCCCCGACTATGCCTCTACACGCTCCAATCCGGCCGCAAACAGCACATCCCGCCTGTCGGCCTACTTCTCCGCTGGCATGTACTCGGTCCGGTCCGCGCTTCAAAAACTCGTCGACTACAACAGCGGCAGCGCAGACTTCACCGCCACCAGTACACAAGCCGGCGTCCACGCCTGGGTCCGCGAACTCGTCTTCCGCGAACTGTACCGGCAGACCAGCCTCGCCACCCCGCACACCTCGATGAACCTGCCCCAAAACCTAAACTTCACTCACATCCAATGGCGGCAGCACGACGACGACGCAGAAACCGCGTGGCACAAATGGATCACGGGCACCACCGGCGAGCCCTTCATCGACGCCGGGATGCGCCAACTCGCGTCCGAAGCCTACATGCACAACCGGCTACGCATGAACGTCTCTTCTTACCTAACCAGCAACCTGCTGCTCGACTACCGCCGCGGCGAGCGCTTCTTCGCCGAAACCCTCATCGACTGGGATCTCGCGAATAATACCCTCGGCTGGGAACCAAGCTACACCGTCTTCAACCCCGTTTCCCAGGCTGAGCGCAATGATCCTGAGGGTGCCTACATTCGCAAGTGGGTCCCCGAGCTGAGGGATGTGCAGGGCAAGGCGGTGTTTGCGCCGCATGCGCGGTTGAGTAGGAGCGAGTTTGAGCGCTTGGGGTATCCGGAGCCGTGTGTGGATTGGAAGGCTTCGAAGGAGAGGTGTTTGAAGAGGTTTAAGGAGGGGGCGAGGAGGGCAGCGGATGAGTAGGCTTGTGTTGGGTTACGTAGCTTAGTACTGGTTGTGCTGGTGTTTTGGCGGCGGGGACTGGGGTTTGCGTTTTGCAAGCTCTATGATTGGTGGAGGGAGCGAGCTGCACATACGTAATCATCTTTTGCCCACCAATGGAAATTTAGATTCTTCTCGCTGGCTTGCCCCACTCTTGCCCCACCTTCCCCCTCTTCCGTCTCGCACTCTTGCGTCTTCGAAGTTCCGCCTTGCCACCACAATTCTTTTTTTTTTTCATTATATATTTATTAACGCGTCGCTCTTCCATCACAACTTAAAGGGCTGGTAACTCAGTGGTAGAGTGTAGGACTGCAGTTTCCCCATGAATTCATTTCCCGAAGTCACCGGTTCGACTCCGGTTCAGCCCTTCTTTTGGCAAAGAAAAGACTTTTCTTTTTGCTTTTCCTAGCACCCTGTAGCACGGTGTGATCATTTTGTGTGGTTGTGCGCACTGCCTGATCTCTTAAACTTATTTTTTGTTCGAGCTCACGGCCTTTTTGCGACTCCGGGCGCTAGCTAAGCGAGGCGGCCCCCCACTACGATACTTGCTCGACAACGTAGCATCTCACAAATACAAGCTCAATTCTCGACTTACCATATTCCACTGGTTACAGACTCTGCGGTGCACAAGATATACTACATGCAGTTACATGTCGCTCTAATCTTCTCTTTGTTTTTTTAGGGGGAGGGCCCTGGCCCCTACCACGGGTGACGGACTTACCGGCCCCGTAGAGAATCTATTGAAAACGACTCATTCTTTCCAACAATTATATAGACTCTATTCTTTTCAGTGGACGCAGAGTGGAATATCATTATAATAGAGATCTTTTTTTTCGGCCGCCGCCAAAGCATAACAAATCACTTGAGACGAAAGGATCTATCTAAAATCGTTGGCGCAGGGGGAAGTTGCTATCGTTATCGAGAAGTTGTCTAACTAGGTAGTAGGTTGAGACGAAAACAAACTTTTCTACCTACTATGCGTCTACGGTGATCGTCTGATGTTTTGGGCGAATTACCCGATTAGGCAAGTTGTTGGTGGGTGTCGATTATAGTAGGTTCCAGGTGCGATTTTGGACATTTCCTTTCGTCTCAAGTTGTATGGGATGGTCTGGGGCCGGCTGAAAAAAGTTTGTTTACCATCATCATTGGTAAGTGTAAGGGTAAGGCTGTCTGTCGAGAAGGAACCTCGCTGATAGGATGGCAGCGGGAAGAGCTAAGGTGCCAGACGAGTACATGCCTCAAGACTCCGCCGACGACGAGGGTCCTATGGTTAAGGCTAGAGGGACTGGCTGTGGTTAGAGAGGGCGAGGTAACATGGAGGAGAGTATTATAGTTGTCCTAGGTCTATTGTCATCTCTGCTCATAACACTTTAAAATACGGAATCGGCATCCCGTGTATATACTAGGTAGCATGACGCATTGTAAGTTGGCAGGCATTTCCACGGTAAATACTACTTCATTATCGGTCTCCTGACTCATCTTATTACCGCTGTACATGAAACCATCATGATGGCTAACATCGTCTAGCCTTAAGCGTGCACTTGTTCCCGAGCTATGCGCATGTGTTCTAGCTAGTACCTCCGGCCTGAAACAGCATGTCGTCCTCGCGATCATCGCAGCCAGTTTCTCTTGGGTGTCGGAACCTTCCTGAATAGCGTCCTCAGCCTTGTTCTTGAGGCAAAGCTGATCAGCGTGAACAGCATCAAGGTGAGCCAAGAAGCCCTTCGCTGTACTCCACCGGCGTCCAGGGCACAGAGGACACTCGACCTTCGCTGCATTCCTACGCGTTATCTTGAAAGCCCGGCGGAGCTGCTCCCTTCTGCTGTGGATACCGCTCCTGAGGTGTGTTTCGTATTTCTCCATGACCCGTTTCCTTTCTTTTGCGGCTGTGAAAGATTAGCAAGGAAACAAGAAGACCATCGGCAGCGAAAAACGAACCCTTTGGCATGGTCCCATCGAGTCGACATAGGAGGCACTTCAAACCAGATAGCTTGACGGCAGAGTCAGTCTAAAAATTGGTCAGTCAATAGATTGCTTGGTAAACGGGTAGCTCCAGATTTTACCTTTTGAATCCACCTGCGAATGAACATGGCCCGGGCCTCTCCATCAGAATCGACGTCATCATCATCGTCAGGTACTTTCCATAACTCTGGCTGTTTGTCTCTAGCATCTGCTACTACAGTGTCGATATCATCATCCGGGTACATGTGGTTGGATGCGAGTAAGCCAACAGATGTGCACATCTCCTGCAGCTTTGGGTTGAGTGCATCATAACCCATGTCTCTCGATGGAAGTAGGACACCTATGCATTTAGTTTTTATAACCGAATTCATACAGCGAAGGACGGCTCACCATTCTTGTCCGCCGAGACGAATACCGCTTGCTGATCAACTTCTTTGCCCCTTTTGATGTGTCGCAATTGGCCAGCGAGAAGTTGATCGAGTGATTCCACGAAAAGTCCACGTTCATAGGCCAGGAGGAACATGAGCATAGAAACGTCGAGGTGAAGTCAAGTCTGCTTAGGAGGGAAAAGCCATACGCGTTTGCCCTCGACGTACTCCTTACGCTGTGGATCGTGGTGACCTTTCATGACTCTGAAGGTGACGCTGCAGGCGATGCCACCCTTCATGCGCTCAAAGCTGACATCGCACCACCTGAGCGTATGAGACCTAGCCCAGGTGGGCATAGAGTGGCTGACGGCGCCACCTAAGGGAGCACCTTTCTGGTAACGCGGCGATACTGTGAAGCAACTAGGACGCGCACCGGTAATGAACGACAGCACCCATACCACGTAATGCTGTTTCCAATTTGCGATCCCCGTGTTCTCCCGCATCAACAGCTGGTTGAAGAACAGCTCGATTTCGAGCTCACCAAGGTTGTTCTTGGCCGGTAGTTCAGTAGGTACATCTTGTTGTAGTGCTATAAACTGGGTGTGGCGCTCGACGCAGTTCGTGAACTACGATTGGAAAGACGAGAAGTTGGGAGTGAAGCCTCTGCCTAGGATGTCTGGTCCGAGTACCTAGGATCAGAGGCTAGGATTATGGTTTCGCCGTCCACGTTCGTTTGATAGATTTGGGAGTTCGCCATAGAATGATTGTCGGATCTTTTGTAGAGAGGCTCGGCCATTCAAATTCGGTGATGTGGAGATGGGGTTGGAGCGTACGGTAGGCGAGTTTCTTGTTGCGGTACGGGTAACAAGTTGGTGACTCGCACTTTTTCGGAATCGGCACCTTCAAGAGTGGTATAGGCGGCTTCTATGCTATCATCGTCGACGACGAAGTCGATGCCCTGGGTAGGACACTGGGTTAGGAATTGGTCAGCTTAAATTAACGCGAGCTACGTACACTGACTATGGTTGGAATGCCAAAAATAGTCAACATGTAAGGACCCCAGAGGACGTGGGGGATCTTCGCAGCATCAAGCCTTGTAGCTGCGGATGCAACGAGGCTGTCGTCGAGAGGTGGCAACTCAGAATCGTCTTGGCCCTTACTGAAGTCTTCAGCCATCGTGAGAGTATTTGGAGTAGCTGATCGATGAGCAGCGATGCAATACAGGTCGTTCGAGGCTTTGCAGGTGGATGTGTTTTGAAAGAACTGTCTAGTTCCGATTTCAATTCTTTGTACCGCCACTAAAACTATTTATGCCCTTCAGCATGGTGATAGAAGGATCCCCAGGCACATGTGATACAAGGATTCCCAGGTGATAGAAGGATTCCCAGGTGATGAAGGATTCTCAGATTGATTGCGGTAAAGCAGTGGCAAGGTGAAACCAACATCATATTCTTAGAGCCGAAGCAGTTCCCATCAGCGACTATCATGGTGGTGCCCACTTAGGTATCTATCCTGTGCTATCACAACTCCTCATCCGTATTCATATCAGCTTTAGCCTTCCTCTTCCTAACAACAACACCAGTCTCCGCCCTTCCCCTTCCCCTGCTACGCACAAGAGGAACGCCCTCATCCATCTCACGCTGTATCACAATCCTCTTCCCCTTAACCAACTGCGTCACCATATAATTCATCGCACATCTAATGCCCAACTCTTCGCCTCTCTTCACAACCCACCCATTGATATAATCAATCTCCGTCTGCACGCCCAATCGCACGTCTGCCAACATGCTCGACACGTTGTCCCTCGTCTTGTGCGCGACAGCCACAACAACCGTCTCTAGACGGCCCGGCTCGAAACGTTGTTGAACGTTGGGGATGTACTGGAGTTCGGGAATGGAGCGGATTACGAGGCTGATTTCTGAGAGGAGAAGTCGGATTGTGCGGGTGAGTGCGTAGTTGTTCAGGATGGCGCCGTTTCGGGCGTCGAGGAGCACAGTGAGGGGGTTGATGATGCAGTTTACGGCCAGCTTGTCCAGTTGCATTTGCAGCAGGTCGGGGGGCGAATAAGCTGCGGCGCTGAGGACGGGCGTGCGGAGGAGGGTGCGTAGTAGATAGCGTTGGTTTGGTGTGAAGGGGAACTTCGCACTTGTCGGGGGTAGATATTCTGGGTCGAGTTCTTCGGGTGGTTCAGGATATAGTGGTGTTGGGGATTTGGCGGTGAACTTGATGTCGGGTAAGTAGGGAGCGTCCGGGTTGCGATCTCGATCGTGTGGTAGGATTCCTAGCGATATTGTCCCGAAGCCGGCATGGACGGTTGTGAATCGCTGGTCGGGCGAGGCGTGCATACCGTGCGAGTTGATGCCGAGCATGTAGTGTGGTCGCGTTGCTGGGTCGGGGAAAATCTCCCGGTTGACCTCGGCGATAACGCCCATTCCGTTCTGTAGAAACAAAATGACAGAGTCCTTGTGCAGTTGATGTTTGACCGAGGAGAGGCCTTGCAAGACATAGGGCGCTTTGGAACATATGATCAGCGAGCTGATGGGTTCTGCTGACTCTCCAGGGAGTGCCTGTGGTCCAGTGTCTCCGCTCGTGTCTGGAGACGCAGTGTTCACGCCCACCTCTGTGCCGTGGTATCGTATGCGCGGTATGGCTAATTCAGCGTCGAAGCCGTCGCGCACTTCGGCATCGCCCTCGGTGACCAGTGTGAGGTTCTTAGGGGACTCGTTCCACGCGTTCAGTTTCTCCCAGTTGGGGAAGACGAGCGTCACAGGGGGTGGATTCGGTATCCCACGTATGGCATGCGCAATGAAGCTCCCCACGTTGCCAACACCCATGATGTGAACGCGCCGGTCCACCGCAGGCTGCACACGATAGAAGTCGGCCGAGTTCCGGGAGACATTGGCGGTAGTCTCGTCATGTGCGTCTTTGCTGTTTGTCGTGAATTTCACTGTGTGGTTCCAGCTCGCCATGAAGCCCTTGGTCTCGCAAAAAGCCACCCGGCTCGCGCAAGGGCTACCGGGGCTGCATCGCGTTCCTAT